TACGAGTCATGTCGTCACACACATCGACCTCTACAAATTGAGTTTATTGACGTCAAGTAGTCCCGCCCCTCACTTGTCCTGCATATATGGGACGTGCTACGTGCCTGGCAACGGACGGACGGACGGACGGACGGACGGACGGACGGACTGACTAACTGGCTCCAGGCGCAGCTGAACTCCGCGCGCGACGTCACGGCCCGGGTGCCGCTCGTCATCGGCCCCATGGACCAGCAGGGCTGCAAGGAGGAGATGGACGCCATTGAGCAGGCCGCCAAGGACGCGTCGCACGTCGACCCGAACAACCCCATGCTCCCGGCGAGGAGCATCATATTGGCCAACGACAGGGAGGCCCTCCACACGCTGGGGTTGTGTATCGTGGGGGGCCAGAAAAAGCCGCTCATCGAGTGAGCGAGGCCATCGTCAGCGGGGTACGAGAATAATGAAACCAACAAAAACTCATTCTCCTGCCGTCGGTCGCGGAGAAGACTCGGCGCATGGGCAGCCGTTCCATCGGCATACACGAACGGCACTCTTCCGACTGCCCTGGCCCTGCCCTCACTCGCCGTCTGCCGTGGAGGCTGGCGAGCATCCGCAGGGCCTATCTACAGCAAGCAGCCTCTTCCTACGCCGAGGGCAGTATTGGCACGACACTGTGACCTTGCACCATCAAGTGAGCTTTCGCACTTGCGAACAGACGGTCACTGCTGTTATGTGGAGGAAGCCACGTCCCGACGGCCAGAAGCTTCTACGCGCCCGGCAAAGAATACGCCGGGATGCAGAGCAGCGCACCGGCGGGGGGTGGGGAGAAAATCGGTGCCATCTGTGGCTAGGAGACGGGCAGCGCGGACGCATCATGGCAGGCTCTCTGGCGGGGATCCCAGGCGGCGACCGGAGGGCGGCCGGACGTACATATAATCATGACGTGAAACGAGCTTTGACGATGATGCAGGGCGGCCGGTAGGATAGGCGAGCGGCGGCCAACCTGCCGGCTGGCTGAGTGCAGCGACGGATATACGGTGCAGCAGCATGATGAGCCGGCTTTGCGGGTGCGGTAGAGGAGATAGACGGACGTTTCGGGGCGTCTGGTGCAAAGCGAAACAATGAATTCTTCCTGATTACAGACGGGTTTCTCCTGTGAGGGTCGCCCTGTAGGCTGAGGTTGTCAAGTGCAACATTGGATGACATGAGTGCTTTTCCGTGGAGCGGCAGGCCTACTCTTCGGCTGGTGATGTGTCTGCATCAGAACCGCGATCGGTTGCCATGTCCTTGCGGGGAGATTCGAATCAGTTAATATTTCGTCGCGACGGTATGTGCAGCACTATGTTGAGCCCGCGCACTTCCAACGCGATGCATCAAAATCATGGACAACAATAGGGGGCTGCGAGACAATCCGAGGACAAAACACAAGGACGGTGGCCATCCAAAAGTAAATCTGAAGAGGACGAGATTCGAACTCGCGCGGTTTCCCACTGGTGGAATATCGAGATATACCTAAAACCAGCGCCTTAACCACTCGGCCACCTCTCCGATTGGGGTTCGGTGAGGAAAGTGTTCAAAGGTGGGGCTCATGTACACTCGGTGGGGCCTCATTGCACTATGGGATTGCTACACCGGGTGTGTTTACTGTACTATGATAGGTGTGACACGAGAAAGTGTGGTGCCAAAGCCTGCGGTATCCTTTCATTTGGATTCAATGCATGCCGTCCTGCCAGGTTGCGTCGGACATGGGCGATCGTGTTCTACTGTGCGTGTCAGGAGCGCTTTGCTGGACTTGACCTCGCACGCATCGTCTACGAAAGATTTATTCCGTAGCTATCATGGCATGGGGCCTCGCTTGCGCCATCTATGGTTCAGTCCATCCCGTCCTGGCAACAATGCCACTTCGAGCCACGAGCCGTGATGCGCACAGCTTGGGAGTTTCATGGCGGGGCAGGCTTTTCATGCGGCGAGGCCAGGTCCCTTCGTCTGAACCCGAGGCCACCTTTTCGTCCTGTCATGCACTATCTACGCATGAGTCTCTTTGAGAGGTCTTGTGAGAGGAGGCAGCCCGTCATACTCTGCAAGCGGGCGTCGCCTGAATCTGTGGGTGATGATCTGACTGAGCATCAATCAGCACTCTTCGAGTGATTCAGACGTACTGGGTGTAGACATGAAACCATGGGCTCCTGGAGCTTCCCTGAATGAAACTTCTTGCAATCATAATTTGGGAATCTGTCAGTGTGGGAAACACTTTTGGCTTAGATGCTCGAGTCTCCATGTACACATGAGTGGTGAGCTTCGGGGTTTGGATGGGCAGCGTCGGGCGTGACTCAACAAAGCATTCATTTTTTCTGTTTTCACCAAACTCTCCTGTGATTCAGGAGAACTGGACTTGGGAAGCTGCAGCTAGGGACACGCAGGTAGATTGTTGACTGTCACGTCGGATGAGTGGGATTTCGACCGGTGCTGACAATAAACGGCTAGAGACGTCTGCCTTCCTCTCCCTCTCTCTCTCTCTCTCTCTCCAAAAAAAGCAGGGAAGAGTAAGACGTTCAAGACAGATCAATGGCAACTGGAGATCATGATTCATTTGACCACTCTTCACGAGATTCACAGAGGACGTTTGGTCCCGTGATGACAGCTCGTACTTCAGATCTCGAGAGAAACATTGTCATCTTCGCCGCACACCAGGGCGAGGATCATCAGGAGGAACAGTCATCAGGAGGAACAGTCATCAGGAGGAACGGCAAAAAAGAGACACAAGGCCAATTGACACCTAGAGCACCGCCCATCCAGTCAACCAGGACTCATCCCACCATCCCATGGTGAAGCTGTCGACGCAGGTCAGTGCGGAGCGCGGGGTTCGTTGGAGACTGGATTGGGGTAGCTTCCGCCCGGGCACTTTTCCCGATTTTTGTCGCCCATTCCCGCCTTGCATCGACGACCACCAAAAGACGAAACCGCCCACCGTGTCGTCCCTCTCCACGAACACGCCAACCGGAAACCGAAGCACCCCTCCCTCCCCCTCCCTCTCCGACCATGCCCCTCGACGACGACGACAACCCGTTCCTCACGCCGTCGCCGGCGCCGGTGCCGCTCGCAGGCAAGGGCATCGCCAACGCCAACAATGGCGACCCCGACGGCCACGACAACGAAGACGACCCGGCCGACGCCCCCTTCGACATGGCCCTCTTCGCCTCCATGTTCTCCAAAAAGGGCGTGTCCTCGCAGACGATCCGCAAGGGGCAGAAGGACTTTGAGGCGCACGGCACGCGCGCCCAGGACGCCGCCCTCGAGACGTCGCGCCGTGTCATCGAGGACGTCCTCGCCTATACGCGCCTGCACACGGGCGACTGGAACCGCGGCTGGCTCTTTGCCGACTACTGGCCCGACGCCCTCGCCGAGCTCGCCACGGCGCGGCCCGAGTTCGTCGCCGCCCTCGACCCGGCGCTGCACGCCGCCGACAGGGTCGTCGTGCTGGAGGAGCTCAAGGGCCCCCAGAACAGGTCCGTCGGACGCACCGTGCGCGGCATGAAGCCGCCGAGCCCGGCCGTCGGCAAGGTCTGGCTGCTGCCCGAGGAGGCGCTGTTCATGCTCGAGCGCGGGTCCTTGGACCTGTGGTGGCCCGACAGGACGCTGGAGGACCTGATGCCGGGGCTCGCGATCAAGAGGAGCAGGGGCGCGATGACGGGCAGCAAGACTACTGCACAGCGGGGCGACGACAACCACAGCGGCCGGCCGGCTGACGGAGAGCCAGAGCGGATAGAGAAGAAGAGGAGGAGGACGACGACGACGACGAGTTCGCCGATGGCGTTCCCCTCAGCCTGCAAGCAGCCTATGCGCTTCTCATCGGCGTCGAGGGCGAGCGCGGAAAGATCACGTTGCCGAAATACCAGGTCTACGCACACCTCAAGAGAGGCGGTTACCACGTCCAGCGGGCGCCCGCGGGCCGAGACGGCCACCCAGGCTGCACCCTCACCGGCATCAACCCAACCAAAGTCTGTCTGGCAATGGCTCTTCTCCCTCTTTGAGCCGACCGGAAGCGGGGCCGCCAGGGGCCTCCCCTTCGGGCCCCCTCGTCCGGCCCGGGCTTCTACGGAAAATACCCCCCCGAAATACAAAAAAGCTCGAATTCATCCCTTCGCTTCGACCCCCGCGAGAAGGCGGCTGATACAGCGCGCCGAGGATCCTTTCAAGGTCTTCTTCCATGTCTGGCGCCGTCCAAGCACCCAGTCTTCTCCAAAAGCGATCCGCCACCGCCCGACCTGCGCATCGCCGTCGTCGACGCCAGGGACACGTTCGTTCCGGAGCTGGAGCAGCTCGAAGCTCTGTTCGACTCGACGCCCTATGACCCCGCAGACGCGTCGCTCTCGGCGCCGGGGCGCTTCTACCCGCGCCTCAAACACGGCCATCGCAACGTGCTCATCTCCGTCGTCGACCGCGGCCTCGTCAATTTTATGCGATTCGGCCAGGCCGCCTTCGCCGACGAGAAGCTGTACGAGCGCTTCGACCTGCCGAACCGCGGCCGAGGTGGGAAGAGGGGCGGAGGCCGCGGCGGAAGAGGAGGTAGGGGCCGTGGTGGACGTGGTCGGAGATGAGGCGAGAGAGCATCCGCACGAGCTGAGGTTGCAACCAGGCCGAGCTGCAGCAGTTTGCCGATGCTCCTGGCGGCATGCCGCGTGAGACACACAATCCGCGCTGTCTGATGACGCCTTACGTGCTTGGCCTTGATCCTTCACTCATTCACCCTCTCTCATCAGGATGTCCGAGGCCATGTTCGCTGTTTGCGCCTGAACTCGAGCATCGCGAGAAGCAAGCAAAAAGCGCCACTGGGGATCGACACACACAGCCTGCCATACGCGCATCATTGTTCATCGCGATCCGGACTCCGCTCGGGGGGTCTTCGTCACAAGCAAAGAATTGTATGGACCTCAGCCAGAGTGAGTCATGCCTTTGTACGCAAGTGGCAGAGGGAGAAGAGCGAACTGGAACGTCCTCTCCAGTAAGAAGTAAGAAGTGACATGCAGCCTAGAGCCCTTCTTATCCAGGTGGCCTGCATACGCGCTCCTGAGAAGTTGGCTGGGGGTAAACAGGACTGGATGGATGTGCATGGGCGCACAACTGATATGGCCAGATTGGTGGCACTGCCTCTGTTAATTGGCAAGACGACCCGACAGCCCTTAACCCTGCGTCGCAAGACGGGGCTCCGTTCGCGATCCTTCGCGTCCCATGTCCCAGCGGACCGCCTGGTCGGGTGCGAGGAGATGGTTGTAGAGAGGCACGCCAAGCTGTACGCCTGGGGCGAGGAGCGCAAATCTCGTGGCTTGTGAGCCGGGCCATTGAAGCTAGATTGACGTTAGGTGCTTCCGCTGTGGGGGCTAGAGCGTGTAAACTATGTAGGTGAGATGGGTAGACAGAACAAAATCGAG